CACATTATCTAGAAGGAGAGTCATGACAGCTTCAGGAAGTCCTAACCAAAGCATTAGGAGAGAAAAAGAAATGAATGAGATTCAAACTGGACAAGAAGCTAAACTACCACTAATTGCAATTGTCATAATAATATACAAAGGAAATCCTAAAGATTAAGCACACACACACACTACTTAAAAACGATATACCGAAATCAACAGGCCATAAAATCAACAAAAATATGGTACATTTCTATCCATAAATAATGGACTATAAAATAAATAAACACTAAAAAATTACAATTTTGTCTGAAAACCTCAAATATACAGGAATCAACGAAGCAGGTTAAAGACATAATTGAAAAGTGTAAGTCACTATTGAAATAATAGGATAGAACATATGGATATGGGAAAATAGTGCATGTTCATGGTTTGGGAGAAATAACATTATTAAAATGATTATCATGTCTAAAGTATTACATTCAATACAATATCTCCCCAAATTCCAATAGCATTATTTAAAGACATAGAACAAATATTTCTGTTATAAAATCACTCTGGACAGCTTAAACAGTTATGAATAAAAGAGAACATGGGAGGCATTGTTTTCCCTAACTTAACTCTGTAATATAAAGCTAGGTAAAGGTAAGGTAAAGGTAAAGGCCCTCCCGTTGATCGTCGATTTGCTCGAGCGGGCCCAGTAACGTCTCCATTGGAGACTTTGTTGTTACTGTGTCTGGCATATCAAATACTCTCGGTAGCTTGCCGGGCTCTCCGAGAGGGGCGGAGGAATCGAACTCGGGTCGGCCATGTTGGCCGTGTGTAAGGCGAACGCCCTACCCCGCTGTGCTAAAAAAGTGTGGTGCTGAAATAAAACCAAGCCCTCAGAGCAGTGGAATAGATCCCACGCCCAGAAGGAAACCCTCAGATGAATGGACAGTTAATGATAGAGGAGTTTGGGGCATTAAGTGAAGAAATGAAAGTCTCTTTAACAATTGATGAGGGGAAAACTGGTTAGCAAAATAAGATAAACTGGATCCTTGTTTCACACAGTACACAAAAGTTAATTCAAAATGGATTAAAAACCTCAATATTAAAACTAAATCTATAAAGTACATTGAGGAAAATGTTGGTAGAACTCGCCATGGTATTGATTTCAGAGGGTCTTCAATGATTGACCCGAATGACAAATAAAAGGAAAAATATAAGGAAAAATAAACAAATGGGACCATATAAAACAAAAATCTTTCTTTACTGTAGAAGGGCAGTCTTTCAAGTACCAAAAAGTCCCTTACTGAATAGGAGAAAGTATTTGTATACTGCCCATTTGACAGGAGGCTAATATCCAAGGTAGATTAAGAACTCACAGAGTTCAACAATAATAACAACAAAATGAAACAATCCCATTAGAACTGGGGAGGAGGAAATAATAGATACATACCACACAGCAAAGCCTGGCAAGCTACCCGTGACGTATTCCATATGCCAAACACAGTAACAACAAGTCTCACAATGGAGACGTTACTGGACCCGCTCGAGCAAATCAATGAACAACAGGAGGACAGACAGTGCCAATCCTCAAAGAAAAGCTGAACAGGAGAGATAGTACAGTGGTATTTCCCATAATCAGGAACTATTTGAGAAATGCAAATTAAGATGACAATGAACAATCCTCTCACAGCAGCAATAACCCTGTGAGCAGTTAGTGCTGGTGAAAAGGTGATGAGAAAGGAAGACTCTGTTGGTGAGTCTGTTCTCTGCTTCCAGAAAAAAACAAAATGGTGGCTTCTAAAACATGGAAGGAAAAGCTCACATAGGACCTCGATGTTCTACTCCTAGGGATCTAGCCTTAGAACACAACAACATTAAACAGAAGATTCGTGTACACCTATGTTCACTGCAGCTCTATTAAACAATAGCCAAGATTGGGACACAACCCAAATGCCCAATAGCAGACGAATGAAGAAACTGTGTATATGGACACTCTGGAACACTGCTCAGCTCTGAGGGAAGAAGAAATCCAACCTTTTGTTACAACTTGGAGAGAAATGAGGATGTAATTTTAGGCAAAATAAATGAGGAGAAGAGCAATTGTTGGATGGTCTCCATCATGTGTATAGAAAGAAATTATAGGAAGTGTACCCTTGGATTCTGGCACAGAACTGAAGTTACCCAGCTAGTAGGATCTGAGAGTCCCCTTGAGGACTAGGAGATAGGGCACAGAGGATATTAAGAAGACTTTAAGAACATTAAAAGGAAATCAGGGAACATTTTCAGGATGATTTTTCTTGTCACTAGTATAGTAATAGTAGGAATAAGCCTAGGTTTAGACCCAGTTTGTGTGATTTAATATTTGCTAAATCATGAAGTCCACATGATTGGTTCTGAGAAAATTAGCTACATATTTTAGGAAATTCTGTAAGATAATGAAGAAACCACCAAAAAGAAGGTAATATGAGCTTTTTCCTGGTTTTGTGCAATCACTTTGTCTCCATCTTAAGGAAGAAATTTGATCCCCTTCTTTCAAACAGTTGGTTACTCATGGATGATTGATGAAATATTTTGGGATTAAGTTGATTGTTATTTACAAGCAAAATATTCTGAAGATATTTTAGCCATAATGTAATTACCTAAGCCATAATATTAATATCAATAGAATACTGGGGCTAATCTATAAATTGTATTAACATTTTTTCATTATCTGATTTATGTCTTTTGTCTGGAATAGGACCCAGGACTAATTGCCACATGTATCTAATAATGTCTCCATCATCTGGAACCAGATATTTCTGGATCTCCATCATCTGGAACTAGTTCTTTCTCATGAACCAGACATGCTAGAATAGTAGTAGCTGGCTTCTTGCAAAAATGCCCCTCTGTTTGGATTGTTCTGCTTCCCTATGATGGGAATAAGGCTGTACAGTGTTTTCAAGAGGGCTTGGGAAGTGATGGTGTCTGATACATCCTGATCTGGTCCAGAGGTGGTTTGTGGGTGTGTCTCCCACATACCTAACTTTTGGCCGTTTACTTTCTTGGTAAACTCTGCACCAGGTTTTGGGGGTCTGGCCAAAGGCACAGCATAATTTTGGGGTATCTGAAAGTCTGACAGTGCCATCAGGCTGCTGATGCACTCGCCTCACAAGTACAGACTGACCTGCTGGCGGCACCATACCCCCAATGTTTCTATCAATATTTTCATGTGTGTAAATTATCTTCCAAATTGTAGACAATGACACAGATTAACTAATGCAAAAAGTTTGTGTCATTATTTCTTTGTGAGGACTTGCGCTATTTAGTCAGATACTGTCTTCCCAAATTCCACACCACTGTTTTCTTCCTCACCCTTTCTAGGGTGTCAAGGCTGAATCTTCAGTCTTGTTTATTCCACTCTGTACTGATATTTTTCCTCACACTTATCTCGCACCGGGTAATTTTAGGAGTCTACTCAACAATGAGAAGAGATGCTCAGAATGGGGATGAAAAGTTATTTCTGGAGTATTTGTGAGGTAGTTTCTAGAGGAATTAGGTTTCAATTAATGAACAGATCAACTTCATGAAGGAGATGGCTTTCGGGGACAAGGTGGCGGGGGTGGAGGGTGGGGGTGGGTATCAGCCTGTCCTTAGGATCTCAGAGATCCTCCAAATGAAGGAAGGTGAATTCACTCTCCCTTTCTGACACGGTTTATCTCTTGGCCCTAGATGTAAGAACCACTAGTTTTGGTCATTAGTTAATTTATTTTTATTGCTTTGAACATTAAAAAATAATTTCAATATTAAAGCACTGTGATTTTCATAGTTATTCCTAGTTGACTTTCTGGCTTACAATGTTGTAGCATCAATCCTGTCACAAGGATCAGTTTTCCTCCACCGATATCCCTGGGCTTCCCCAATCTCCTCCGCATAGCTCCTTGACAATCAGAATTTAGGCCACAAGTCCTGCATTTCTAGGCCTCCACCCTCACACTGACTTCACCTCCATGTTCTCACTTCTTCAACATGTGGAAGGCAGAACTGCCGACTGTTCAGCCCTGCAGCTGTGTGTGCTGGTTCTTAGCAATTTTACATCTAGCACATGGACCCTGTGTATGTGGAGAACCCTGGCTTATATTGCCACACTTGGGTTGATTTTATTCTCTTATCTTCATGTGGGGAGCATCAGGGACTGTCAGGACCATAATCCCCAAAGTTCTCCAGGGGAGCAGAGAGATTACCCTTATCTCGTGCTTTCTCCTGCTCAACTCTACCTGTCTCTTCTATGTAATTGATTCACTTATAATCATTAAAGATCTCAAGAAATAAATTTGTAATCTGAGATGTGGTTGGTGTGAAAAACTACAATAATTCCTTCAATGAATGGGGGTCCTTCCCTTGGGTCCCTTCTCTTTCCTCTTGGTCCCTCCCATTCCTAGTCAGATGCATGAATTTGGCCATCTGCAAAATTCTCTTCATTTTAATCACAAAAGCAACAAACCAGAGTCCCCAAAGATATATTTTTTCACTCCCTCACTACTCATCATTCAGTCCAAAGCTTTTCAACTGGGGGGTCACAATCCCCCCTGTAAGCCCCCAGGAAATTCCACAGGGCCTCCATGTGAACAGTGTAGTGGGTGACATGGCACAGAAGTGGAATCTACCAATTGGATAGGGATGAGGCGGGGGAAGGAAGCAAGGTCAAAAAGGGGCCACAGTCAGGAAAAGGTGGAAAAACACTGATTTAAGCAATAATTCAATTCTTTGGAATCGATAATGGGTCCAGTTTTGAAACAGTGAGTAAACACTATGTTTGGGTAAATATCAATCCAGCTACATATGAGACCTGAGCCGCCAGCACACTGGACTCTGCCAAGCCTGGCCATTGGAGACTCACCACTAAAATTAACATTGCATGAGACTCAGATGGCCAGTACACAGGATTGTCCCAAAGCTGGCTAACCGGAAACTCACTATTGAAATTAATGTTGCTTGAGACCCGGATGGCCTGTACCCTAGGTTCCCCCAGAGCCTGGCTAGTGGAGACTCACCATTGAAATTAACATTGCGTATGTACTTCAGCAGTTTCTTGCCCCCTGCATGCTCCATCTCTGGGCAGATGCCACGGTAGTCGGCGCACAGGTCCTTGTTCATGTGGTGCAGGGCGTGAGCCATGGCGTAGACTGCATCAATCACAAACTGGACTTTACCCTCCTGCTCGTAGTTGGAATCTTTTCCGATTCTTTCCTGTCCTGCACATTAAAATGAGAAACACACACACATATTGGCATGGAGTAGAATGCCTAAAACTGCATTTACTTTTTCCATACTTAAAGGAACCAATGCTTCCAGGCATAATGCTTCGAGGTGCTTCCCATATCTCCCCCTTTGTCTAGCAGATTGCATTGGTTCACTTTTGGACTCTTACTCTGAAGACAAGGACACTAACTTTGCAAACACTTCATGTAGCATGCTACTGAGGAACACAAATGCTGGTTTTTTGTCTTTTGTATAGGGGTTTTATTATTGTTTAGTTTTAGGGCCACATCTGGGGGTGCTCAGAGATGACTCCTGAGTCTGCGCTCAGGGATCGTTCGTGGAGGGATTCAGAGGACTATATAGGGCTTTGGGATTTGAACCTGGGTACAAAGCAAGTGCACTTCTGGCCATGGACCACAAGTAATGCCAGGAATCAGACCTGGGTCAGCAATGTGCAAGTACTATCTTACCTACTGTACTATGTCTGAGGCCTCCAAACAGCTTTTACAGGAAACCAATACCTGATTTAAAATATCCTCAAAAACCAGGGCTCATGGTGATTAGAAGATCACAATCACCTTCACTATCATCCTGTTGTTCGTCAATTGTCTCGAGGAGGCACCAGTAACGTCTCCTTTCTAGCCCTGAGATTTTAAAAGAGCCATTTCAATACTCTTTTGGGGTTAAGAGAATGAGACCCATCATTGTTACTGGTATTTGGCATATTGAGTACAACACGGGAAGTTTGCCAGACTACGCCATGCAGGCAGGATACTTTTGCTAGCCTGCCAGTTTCTCCGAAGGAAAACTGAGATAATAAGAAGTCATATGGCCGCAAATGCGGCCATGTGCTTCCAGGAACTGGGTTTTATAGTCTCTCCGTGCTGGCCATTGATGGGACCAGCCTGGCGCTGGTGGCAGCTGGTGAGTGTGACTCCTACCTACTGGAAGATGGGGGGTCTGGATGGGGAAGGCCCAGTCCCAATCCGAGCAGGCTTGTAGATCTCAGCCCTGGGACCAGCATGCCTGGGTTCCTCTGCCTGTTCTTTCATGCATGAGGCTTGTTGGGACATGTGTAGAGTGGCCCCAGCATGGCCGTGGCTGGCTCCGGAGGTCCTCAGCTGCTGAGGCTCTGCTTTGGGGGGGGGGAGAGAAACTCAATCCGCCCCCCTCCCAGGGGCTCTGGTAAGGACAGCCAGGTGCCAGGGCAGGAGACTCTGATGATTAGAAGCTGGGATGTATATTCAAGTCTAGCAAACTCACTTCTTGTAGAAAGGCACTTGGTCAAGTGGAATACAATTAAAAACAAGTTCAATTCCACTTCTGAACTCATTCCCTTCTCCTTGCACCTACCACATCTAAGGCTTGCTGTCTCAATTGCTGTCATTTCTGGGAATCCCAGGTTTAGGACAGAAGCATAGTCACTTTTCTTCTTTCCTCCCTCTGTTTTTCACTTACACACATCTATGGATTCTCCAAATTCTAGCTGTTCTGCTTCTGCGACATTGAACAGTTCCAGTCACACCAGTTCTGCCCTGATATCATCTAAGAAGGCGATGCTAGAACATCTGTCCAGTCATTCTTCTATACTAATAATCTCACCCCTGCGCTCCAAATTAGAAGCTCTCCTTCAGCTCCAAAATGCATCCTTTTCTTTGACAACAGAGAGTGTTCTTCTTGTTGCCCATCTGCCTACAAAGAACTGAGAGTGATGCAGTGCTCTCTGCATCCTTAGGAGTGTTACACACATTACTGCATCTTACTTTATTATGCAAGTAGCATTTATCCTCCTCATACCGGTGGGAGGCCGAAGCGCCATCATCTTCCACTCCATCACCTTCCCAAGGGCACTTACAGGCAGAGCATGGAGGTCATCATAGACTTGTCAGACCCCAAAGCCCACGTTGTTCTCACTGCATTGGCTCTACTCCATCCTCCACTTTTTTTATTCCAGAGTAACACAATTATTATTTCACCCCTGAATACAATAGAAGTTCTAATGAAAAGTCTGTCATTGTTCACCTTCTTTCCTTGTCAGGAACATCCTTGTTCTTCCTTGTTCTTGTTCATCTGAACTTAATTCTCTCTCCATTGCACAATTCAATAGCTGTCTACAGTTAGTCCCTCAATCATGAGGAAAGATTTCTGTAAAATTAATCTTCTATTTTAATGCTTTTTCAGTTGATAGCCTATGTGTCTTTTCCCTCCTCAAAACCTCTGCTCTAAATACAGTTTCTAGTAGCTTCTGAATAACACCTGTACTGAAGTTTTCACACACTAAGGACCTAATCCCAGAAATTCTTTTTTAGACCATTTGTCCCTCCCAGATGAATCATTATCTGCATATAGCATTTTACTTTCACCGCAATATTTTGAAAATTGTTTTTAAGGTACATTTGTGGAGCAAATAAACAAGAGGAATTCCACAACTACAGTCCCTTTCTAAACAAAAAGAGGTCCCTACAGTCACAGCATTAATTTTTTAGATTCTATCACCAAGAGTCTTTTGGAGAATATTTAATATATTGAAGAAAAATCTCCACTAAAATGTGCAGTATTTCCCAAATTCCCATGCATTTGATTCTTCTCCTTAAAGGAACATAAGAGCCCACTGTATTTTATCCATTTTCTGTTTAAATAACAGACAGCCTCTACTCACTATTTCCCCCTGCATCCAAAGTGCATAGAGTAGGAATTTAAATATAAAATTTGTCACAAATTCATACTGCTACTCCCAGTGTAAATTCAAGAGCACAGGGATTTTTTGTTTGTTTTCTTAGCCCCCACATTCTGCCATCTCTGTTGTCTTGCTCTCATGGGGGAAAGTCCTGATTCAAAATGATATCGTTATGTTCTTTGTTTGCTAGATTCCTAAAAATACAGACCCACATCTGAGACGAACCAACATGCCTAATGTGTCGACTTAAAAGTATAGTGTACGGAACAGCCTTCTGCAAAACAAAACAAAAAAAACCAAAACCCAACCTTTTCAATTTTTGTCTGAATATTTGGTTTTGATTCTGAGGAGTGTGGTTGCTTTAAGCAAAAATTCATATGTATTTTTTGCTAACCCATGGAAAATTCCCTTCTACTGGGATTAACTTTTTTGATTTCCCTCCAGGCAAAAATTCTCCACAACCTCACTAACAGAGCATGCTCTAAAACTGGGATTTTGTCAATCAGCTCTGTGGGAAATTCGGTTGCAACATATTTTTTATTTGCACCATTCTCATGGAGAGGTTGAACACCTTTGGATATGGTTAAGAGCCACTGTATTTCTTTTAGTTGCAAGTTGTTTATAATTCAGTATTATTATTTTTAAAGGTAGTGATTTTCTTTTCCATTTAGAAGAGATTTTATAAATTAGAAATATCAATTCTGACATTAGTTGTAAATATTTTTTCCCTGTTTGGCACTTTGTTCCCTTTTCTACGTATATATTTTCCAAATACATTTTATTACATTATGATTACTTATAATTTTTTATTATTGCTTCTGGATTTTGGGCCAGTGTTAAGCAGAATGTTTATATTCTCAGAATTTTATTAAATTATAGTATGTAATATTATTAGAATTTTTTCCATCTGTTTTCTTCTAGCACTTATCAATTTAATTTTGTAATTAGATTTTTGATCCCCTGACAATACATTCTGGTGTTGTGAGGAACAAATTAATATTTTGTCTTGTGTCTATATAGCAAGTCTGTAGTCTTCTCACATGAAAAGTTCATTCCTCCCTACTTTTGAAAAGTTGCCCTAATTATAAACTAAATTTACATACATCGTTAGGTATGTTTTTGAGTTTATTTTTGAATCTGTTCCACAGTTTGATTTGTCAATTTATGCCATCCATACAGTTACAACCATAAAGACTCCCTAATATATTTTAATAGCTGGTAGAATTAGTGCCTCTTCTGTCATAATTGCTTATTTTATTCATTTTTTCCCGTTTGTTCAGTGTGTGTGTGTGTGTGTGTGTGTGTGTGTGTGTATGTGTGTGTGTGTGTGAGAGAGAGAGAGAGAGACAGATAGAGACAGAGAGAGAGACAGAGAGAGAGAGATGTGAGATGAAACTACCAACCATTCGGCCAGCTAATGGGGAGCCTACATCATAGTTCAGGAACCGCATCTGGTACCCTTTTCAATAGTCTCAGCTGAACACAAATATGTAGGAAGATGGCCTTCTACATTGTTTCTTCCCATTGTGACCAGGTCAATGACGCTGCTAAAGTAACACTTTCGTGTCTTTCTTTCCTAGGTCCCAAGTGCTTCCTGGACAGAATCATATGCCATTTAGTCCTACTATCATTAGCAAAGACTTCCTGGCTATTTCCTCACTTGCGTTTGGTAGTGCACACAAAAGTTATTTTTGTTTTGTTGCCATGGCAAGGCTAGTTTACCATTTTCAACTTCCATCCTGAAAATTTTTAAACAGAGAGCAAAATGGAAGAACTTTACAGTGAACCCAACCACTAGGTTCTTTCATGAGCATTTTATTATACTTAGTTTATAAGGCAATTTATTTTCTAATATTAATTTTATAACCTGCTACTTTAAAAATTCCTCTCATTTTTATAGTACTAAGAAAAGGCAATCTTGAGAGAAGTATGGCCATTATAAAATATGCACTATGAAATGGGTTGAGGGTAATAATTGAGGAGAACAGTTTCTAAACTATAATGTCTTTTAAAATGGCAGACTTTTAAAATTCTATCCCAGAAAGAATACCTTGAAAAAGTATTTCAATATTTTAAATAATGGAATATGTTATTATTTGCAGCACATTACTGGTTTTTATCCTACTCTTGGAGTCACAAGCAAAGTTAGCATGTCTGATTCTGAAATAATAAAAGTATACATTTGTCTTGGGGGCTGCTACCAAGACTAGGAAGTGTAACCCTGCATTGAGAGAACAGAAAGTGACAACTTCACGGGCACTCAACCACCATTTTCCCTAGTGTGGCATCCAGCCAGACTCTCTTGAGTCTTTCTCT